TGGTGTTCATTTTCCTCTCTGATTGCTTCATGTTTTTGTAGATGTTTTCAGTAATAGTTGTAACAATAAAATAATTCATTGACATTGATTGTTCTCGGTATACTAGTGGAGACAGTAAAGAAAAGCGTCTTACAGGCTCAAAATCTTCGCGCTCTGGCAAAGAACGATCGAACAGGTCCCGTTCCCGTGATAGAAAGGATAAAGAGAAGGGGGACAATGAGGAATTACCTTTTGATCACACAAAATTAGACAAGGTGAGCCTTCAAAGATTATTGCTTGATCTACAATTTTACTTTAAAAGGCCTTAAGTCGTAAGTCAAAAGAGATTAAGTAACAATTTCTATCTTTAAACTATTTTTTCGCAGTCTTTATGCTTTAACTGTTAGACTTAAGCGAATTGAGCAAAACCTTATTTTTATGATCTAAAAGCATAAGGCCAAGTTCTGTGGCCAATCTATTGTCACTTACAGCTTACGGCCTCTTAAAACAAGGATGTGAATTTAGCCAAAGTGATGAAAAACAAGCAATATATATAAAAATTTATATTGCAGGAGGAAGAGCAAAAAAGGCTGGAATTGGAAATGCAAAAGAGAAGAGAGAGGATAGAAAGATGGCGAGCAGAAAGGAAGAAGAAAGAACTGGAAGCAACCAAAAAAGACGGTAAGACATCTATTTTGGCAAATCTTCAGCTACCCATGAAAAAGTGGTCCCTTGAGGATGATAGTGATGAAGAGACTCCTGTGGTACAGAATAACAAGGAAGCAAAAGAAGAAGGTGCAAAGGAAGAAATTGAAGAAGTAAATGAAGAGGTTAAAGATACGGAGGAAGAGATTGATCCACTTGATGCTTTTATGGCAGAGGCAAGTATTATTATAATTTATATAATCAATTTGATTTGATATATATATACTTACGTCCAATTAATTTAATAGGTCCAAGAAGAAGTGAGAAAAGTGAATAAATTTGATGGTAAAGCTCCAAAAAATGCCAACAATGGCACTAATTCTGCATCGCAGAGTGGCGGGGTGGTCATCGTAACTGGAGTAGCTAAGAAAAAAGTGCAAAAACAGAAAGGAGAATTGATCGAACAAAATCAAGATGGATTGGAGTACTCTAGCGAAGAAGAGGGCGAGAATCTTCACGAGACTGCGGCCGGTATAGCAAACAAACAGAAGCGAGAATTGGCTAAAGTTGATCATGCTACAACAGAGTATCAACCCTTCCGAAAGTCTTTCTATGTTGAAGTGCCTGAGATAGGTATTGTCATATATTTTTAAATTATGTTTTTAATTATGTTTTCTATTGTATCAATAAATAAATTATATATACATATTTATATAGATATATATTTACTCATTTACTACATATCATTTACTACATTGCAGCAAGAATGACACCAGAAGAAGTGGAAGTGTACAAAGAAGAATTAGAAGGCATTCGCGTGAAAGGTAAAGGTTGCCCAAAACCTATCAAATCTTGGGCGCAATGTGGCGTAACTAAGAAGGAATTAGAAGTATTAAAGAAACTCGGTTATGAGAAACCGACACCTATTCAATGCCAGGCGATTCCAGCGATCATGTCTGGTCGCGATCTCATAGGTATAGCAAAAACCGGTAGCGGAAAAACATTAGCTTTTCTTTTACCTATGTTTCGGCATATACTCGATCAGCCACCGTTAGCCGATGGTGACGGACCAATCGCGTTGATTATGACACCAACTAGAGAATTGTGTATGCAAATTGGTAGGGATTCGAAGAAATTCACAAAATCGCTGGGTCTTTCGCACGTGTGTGTCTATGGTGGAACCGGCATTTCTGAACAAATAGCCGAACTTAAGAGAGGAGCTGAAATCATCGTGTGCACACCAGGAAGGATGATTGACATGCTTGCTGCTAACAGCGGACGAGTAACCAATCTACGTCGAGTAACGTATGTAGTACTTGATGAGGCCGACAGAATGTTTGATATGGGTTTCGAACCGCAGGTGATGCGAATTATGGAAAATGTAAGACCGGATAGACAAACGGTACTGTTTAGTGCAACGTTCCCACGACAAATGGAGGCGCTAGCCAGAAGAATACTTACGAGACCAGTCGAAGTACAAGTCGGTGGACGTTCTGTCGTTTGCAAGGATGTGGAGCAGCATGTAGTTGTACTCGAAGAAGATCAGAAATTTTATAAGTTGCTTGAGATCCTTGGACATTATCAAGACAAAGGTTCCACCATTATATTCGTAGACAAGCAAGAGAATGCGGACACGTTACTCAAGGATCTTATGAAAGCTTCGTATTCCTGCATGTCTCTTCACGGCGGTATAGATCAATGCGACAGAGATTCAACCATATTGGACTTCAAAGCAGGACGAACAAAATTGCTCGTGGCCACATCCGTCGCCGCTAGAGGTTTGGACGTTAAACATTTGGTATTAGTTGTCAATTATGATTGTCCTAATCACTACGAAGATTATGTACATAGATGTGGTAGAACTGGCCGAGCTGGAAATAAAGGGTAAGATATAAATATTTGAATTTTCACAATATATATTTCAAATATTTATTTCAAATTTATTATGGTTCGTTTCCCCTTCAGATACGCATACACCTTTATTACATCAGAGCAAGAACGTTACGCTGGTGATATTTTACGTGCGCACGAGTTAGCGGGCGTACCTGTCCCAGAACCCTTGCGCCAATTATGGGAAGGTTACAAAGCCCGCCAAGCCGCGGATGGAAAGAAGGTTCATACTGGAGGTGGTTTCAGTGGCAAAGGATTTAAGTTTGACGAATCAGAGGCTGCTTTGGCGAATGAAAAGAAGAAATTCCAAAAAGCAGCCTTGGGACTGCAAGATTCCGATGACGAGGACATAGAAAACGATATCGACCAACAGATCGAGAGCATGCTAGCGCCTAAGCGAACTGTTCGTGAAATTGCGAAACCAACCGCGACCAGTGTTACAGTGCCCGGTCAACCTATTCCTAGTGCCACTGATAAACTCGAATTGGCCAGAAGACTGGCGTCGAAGATAAATATTGCAAAGAATCTGGGCGCTGAAGCAAAAGGCGCTACTCAACAAGCAGCAGAAGCCATACTAAAGGGTGCAGGACCTACCAATCTTATCACGGTAAAATTCTAGTTTTTGTTTCAAATGTTACTGCAATAATTTTACGATCGTAAATAACTTTTTTTTTCTTTTATACAGGCAAAGACAGTCGCGGAACAACTAGCAGCGAAACTGAATACTAAGCTGAATTATCAGCCACGCGAGGAAGATCTCGTAGAAAGTGATGTGGAAACGGGCGAGCAAACATTCCGCAAATATGAAGAGGAACTCGAGATCAACGACTTCCCGCAACAAGCGAGATGGCGAGTCACAAGCAAAGAGGCTCTTGCTCAAATCTCAGAATATTCTGAGGCAGGTCTGACAGTGAGAGGAACGTACATCGCACCTGGAAAAATGCCACCAGAAGGAGAGAGGAAGTTATACCTAGCAATAGAATCGACGAGTGAGTTGGCGGTCAGCAAGGCCAAGGCGGAAGTGTCTCGACTCATCAAGGAAGAACTTATCAAACTGCAAGCGTCTGGTGCTCACACCGCATCGCGAGGTCGCTATAAAGTTTTATAAAGTTTTGGGATCATTTTAATGAGCTATATAATGTATACCGTAAGGTATCATACGCATACGCGAATGTATATGATAAAAGTTTAGAAATTTATTATACATGCAAATAACGTATTTGTTTTTAACAAATTACAATAACAAGATATACTTAACGACTGTGAGAGTCTTATTTATATCATTGGCACAAACCACTGCAGGCAATCCAAGTTTTCGCATATTTATAAATAAAATGCGAATACCCACATTATCCCCTTAATAATATTTCTTCTATTGTATTAATTTACCTATACAAAATAAAAATTCGAACGAACGTTCAGCAACGTAAAATCGCACGCAGCATACGCCAGTCATACGTTCATAACAATTCTTAATAAAATCTTATGTTGATAACGTTCAGCATTCTTAATAAAATCCTACGTTGATTTTTTTTCTATCGATAAAAATTAATCCTAACTATACACACTGGAGTCCCAGAAACCCCAGCGCAATGCTTTTGCTAAATCGAGATTTTTTCATATTTCTGAACTTTTTTTTTCTTTGAACCTATCTCTTT